GGGCTTGGGACTGGATGGGCTTTAAAGTTCCTTCTCACCCAAACTGTTCAGTGATTCTGTGATTCCCTGACTTTGCAGGCAGCTCAATTAATCTATCAGCTCCCTGTTGGTTCTGCCCCCTCCATCCCACTGCACCTCTTGAAATGCTCTTGGGAATGCCCCATAGCAAGAACAGTATAGCTGGAGTCTCAGCTTCTGCTGTGCTTGACTAGATCTGGCCACTTTCAGGCCATATTCCATAAACATACATATTTTCTGTGTTCTACATAGTTTGAAGACTTTTCTTGGTCCTGAAGTTTCCAGTGCTCTTCTCTGGAGAAAAYCTCCCAAACCCAAGCCCTGCCCAGAGCCTTGTCAGGGATTCATCGAGGTGACTCACAGGATACGTGTAATTTCTGTGGGATAGTAATTCCCTCTGGTTGGAACTGCAGGCACARAGCTGTGTGACCACAGAGAGATGACTCACTGGGTGACCTTCAGACTATGCTTCTTGGGGAAGATATTTAAATGGAAAGAGACTTTTAACACAGCAATAGAGGGTCTCAGGTTGTGATTAACACTTTCACAGGGTGTTAGGAGCAGAGCAGAGGAGCACACACCAGGAATGGGGCAGGAGCTCTTCACCTGAGCTGGTGTTAGGAAGGACMAAAAAGTGAGTTTAGGACAAAATACAACTTGGGCCACATGCAGTCTCCATGTCCCCACTGCACTTTCCTGCTGCCCCTGGGTTAAGTATGACATGATCTTAGGGCTCAGGCTATATGATCTCTCAAGGTGTAGTCCAGGCTTATTTTCTCTGGGTTTATTCTTTATTTGCCCATGCAGCGCAGGAAATAATCCCAAATTATCTTATATGGTAAGGAAAGAGGTAAGGATGCCTGGAAATGGATTTGCAACTGTTGAATAAAAGCTGCATCTGATATTCAGAAATGGTGGTATTACCTCAAGTCATGAGATTCTGATATTACYAGGAGTGCATAAGAATGATATTTTATTCTCATTTAGAAGATATAAAGCTTTCCAATAATGCAGGCTGCCTGCATGGGAAGGTTTGCTGACTCTTGCTGTGGGATTCTTTGACATCTTTTATTTACCCTCTGGCAGGCCCAGGGGTAATCTTTATTTAGAGTCTTTAATAGTTTTGGAAATGTGTTCTCCTCACTCAGCTGAAAAAAAATTACAAGTTTTAAAGGTGCAGATTCCCTTCTTCAGCTGACACTCTCCTGGGGCAGAAGTCAGCCTGCTAAAACACCCAGAATTTAGTGAGTTTCCTGCCAAWAGAATATTGGTATGTAGCAAAGTATTGCTCTGATATTTTTCCCTTGCCGAAGGGAAGGACTGTCCTATTGATCTCTCCCATGCTACAGGTTGGGAGATGAAGACAGATTTCAACATTTTTTACTGTAGTGGCAGTTTCCTGATGTAATCCAGGATTATTCCCTGCTGGCCAAACAAGAGCTGACAAAAAAAGGCCAGCCCTCAGCTGAGCATCTGATTCAAAAGAAAATTCAGCTGAAAGGCAAGCATTGGAAAGATGAGTCAATACAAAAGCAAGCGGCAGCTCTGGATTTAAGCAGAAGTCCACAGCATTTAACCTACTTTAGCAGATCAATGCAGTGGATTTTTAATCATCACATTAATCCTAAAATAAAAATAATTACCCCAGAGATCTGTATTAAAGTCCCGTAATTATATCTCATTTCATCATCCTTTTTACTCGGGATCAAAAGCTGCAGAGACCAGAGCTGCCCGATGTCATTTCTCCAGCTCACAGTTTAACTCTCTTCTTARGACTTCAGCTGCAACTACACAGAAAAAGCACTGGCCTTGCTGAGAGCACCCACATCCACCCCACTAGGGAGAAAAGTGAAAAAAGGAAAAAAAAAAAAAGGTCGGTAGGATTCTGCTTTCCAATGACATGGTATAAAACTGCAAAGGAAGGAGTGGAGAACATTACACAGTTGAGTGAAAAATGTGTGAATGCCTAGAAATTCAATCTCTGCAGTGTCCCCTTCTTCCAGCAATGCCAGGAGACCATTAATATCCCATAAGGGAAAAGAGGGTACTTTGACCAGAGACTGGGCCCCTCATCAAATTTCCCTGAGCAGAGTTTATTTCCTGGAGYATCCTTTCCTGTCCACAGTCCTGCAACCCCCACAGATGCCCTGGGAACATGAGCAAGTGCAGGACCCTGAGCCTCAGTGGGCAGCCTCAGGTGGGATTTTAGAGCCATCAAACCAGCCCATCCCCTGCTTATAAGAGCAAGTGGCATGGCACAGCTTACAGACATGCAGCAAACTTTCCCATCTTTCTCCCCAAAAAGAGTGCCTTTCTCCACTCTGCCTTTTGGGACCAGTCCTCAATCTATGCTGTCGGCTGCATTGTGCCCAAGCTGCTCGTTTTAGGTCAAATTTCCCTGCCTTGCTGGCCTTTACCCATTTCCACCATCTTCTTGCAGAGAAAGAGCTACCCCGGTGTTATATTTAGACTTAAAAGCACCATACATTTACCGAAATAGTGCTTTAGTCCATTTTTCAGGTTTCTCCAAATACACGAGRGAGTTTCTTCCTGCTGCCTTGGGAAGGGTCTGCGGGGCCTGCTGTTTTTGTTGCAGGTGTTGGGATGAAGGCAAAGGTTGTCATCAAACAAGCAGCACRTGGAACCGGAGACAGTAAATGGTCATGGGCTCAGGGAGAGTCCCCAAGCTGGCAAGGGGCACCAGGGCTATAAATACCCACCTTCCCTTCCAAAACCACCAGGTACAAGTTATAACATGTCCAAGKAGCCGGAATCAGCTTCTAGCAGGGGGCTTAACACCGGAGGTTTGTGAAATCCAAGAGTAATTAAAGGTTACAGCTGCCCCTGCACGGAGCTCGCTGGCAATCAGGCTGCCTTGGGAAGGTATTGCAGGACATTAACACACAGGGAGGGAGGGGAGAGATGGAAAAAAGGTACCTTCATGATAATATTATGGTAACAGTGCAGACCAATGTTAAATCACCTTCCTGTCACCAAAAACTCACAGCCTGAGACTGCCATGTCCTGCATTTTTATTTCCATGGACGATGGGAACTGCAATTCCCAGCAGAAAGTAGATGAGGGAGGTTTCTTTTTCCTTTCATTGAGTTTGGGGGAACCCTCTTTGAGACTCTTTGCACAAGATTAATAAAAAAGCTTTAAAAATCCATTAAAATAAACAAATAATTGCAACCTGTAATAGGAAAAAAAAATTAAACCATGTTTTCCGATTCAAGTGACAAAGTAAATGTTCATCTCCCTACTTGGCATTCATTGATGGCAAAGGGSTCAGAACCAGGTTTTCTCCTTGTAGTCCTGGGAATTGGAAATCAGCCCTYTTTCATTCCCTGATGATGACAGGAGAGGCTCCCAGGGCATGAGGCAGGACACAGGGATCACTCAGTGAAGAGTTTTTGGTTGCATCTTATCATTTTACCTTTACTCTGCCATTTTTCATTTCAGTTTGTACTTGGGATTTATTTTTTTATCTCTCTAATCCTGTTCCAGTCATTTTGACTTCGAAAAGCAAGGATTGGTAGGGCTACCAGGCCTCCAGGACAAATGGGAAAAACTGACAAAATAAGGGAAAATGAGACATCAACCAGATCATAAAGTCATATTCTTAACACTGAGGAAACTTAGGATTTTCCTTGTCCACCTACCAGAAGCCCACCTACCAGGTTGCTGAAGGCCCCCAAATATGGAGATTTTATACCTCCTCGGGGAACCATTTTCTTTCAAAGTTTCCCATCATGGTTGAATCCAAATCTTTCCTGCCACAACATTTTATCCCTTTGTGAGTGTTTACAGAGATGCATTTATCACTTTCCTCTTTTAAAATTTAATTTGGGTATTTCGAGTCAGTTCTCCTTTCTCCCCTCATTTTTCTCCAAGCCAAAAAAAACCCCAATGTTTTCTACACCTCTGCTCATTCTTTTCTCCTTTCAGCTGTGGAAGTCACACTTTCTGTAGCTGAGGTGCCCAAAAACTCAAATGGATTCCCTGAGACAAAGCCTTGTGCTACACAAGGCACACAAATTGCTCTGTGGATAAACAACACCCCTGTCTATACATATTAATATCATGCTTGCTTTTCCCTCCCAGAGAGAAGTGTTTGCTGATTTGCCAGCATTCTGCTTGCTCTTGGCACAAGGCAAACAACTACAGGAGTTGCTAGCAAGGCAAGAACCAAACCACTGATCTCTCCTGGCAGAATGTAGCTTAATTCCAGTAAAAAAAAAAAAATCCACAGCAGCTGCCTACAAAACAGAAACACTTACCTCAAAGCACGTAAGGGAAACATTCCTCTTCATAAAACCATGCAAGCTGTAACTTCTCAAACTAGGTTTAAGTAAAATAAACTCTGCATGGGTCAAGGTTAAACACTTAGAGATCCCCACCGGTGTTTGCCGTGAAAAGAGCATTTTCACATCAAAGACTGACGTGCTCTACAGCGAAGCAGTCTCAGCAGCAATTCGTAAGAACACGACAGTGYAAAAATAAAGTGGTCTCTCGGTTATTCAGAACACTAATATTGATTTTAGGGACCGCATCTGCGTGTTTGTTTCTGAAGACATTGAAGTTTCCGCAATGAACACATTACCTTAATTCAACCCCTCGAGCCATTTGAGCCTGAACTCACACAGAGTGGGACGCCTGTAARGCAGGGTCTGCTCAGGGGCAAACACTCAGAGGGTACAAGTCTGTTTAAGTTGAATACAGACCTGTACTTTTGCGACAGCTGAGGATTAAAACATAATCCAGGAAACTCACAAAACATTRTATCCTGCCTAACCTTCTCCTGCTTTCATAATCTAACAGACATTACAGATGCCGGATGCACCTCYCCAGACTGACAAGATATTATTATCAGCAGCAAAACACTGATAAGTGGTTTGAACTGTCAYAAAGGTCTGCCTGGAGCTCCATCTCCCCTCGGTCCGATCAGACAACTTTTCCTATTCCCTCCGATCCCCCCTTACCTCTTGAGATAGTTTCTCCCGTAGAGGATCTGCTGCAGCAAGGTGACCACGGCAAAGGCGCAGATGAAGATGAAGAACAAAGTTCTGTTTCCCAGCAAATCCCGGCTTGACGAAGGGTCAGTGTATCCCATCCTTCCGAAAAGCCACTGAAGCTSTGCTGGGTAAAATTCAGTTCATCGCCACCTTCATGCCCTTTTTGCCGGGGAGCGGAGGGGAATGCCTGCCGGCTTTTCTGTGAGCAATCCAAGGACAAGGTGTCCCATTGTTTGGCCCTGCTGCCCCTTCCTTGCCCCTTTTGGATGTTAGCTCCAGGACTGTGCGCAATGACTTGCTTCCATGGTAAAGTTTCCAGGAGATTCAGACGTGGGTAACATCTAAAATCATCTCTCAGAGCTCTCTCAGCGCAGGCAGCCTGTGCTGTGTGAGAGGCATTCTGTTCCTTCTAAGCCTCTCTTGAAAACCCGCTGCTAGCAATTATCTACTTCAATCCCATTTTCATATTCCAGATGGGGGAAGCTGCACACAAACCAGAAAACTGCAGCCAATGGCAAACACGGGGCTCCGGCAACCTGCGTTGGAAGCACATAGTCGTCAGCTCTTCTCTGCTTCTGCTCAGCGATTCCAACAAAATGTGCTCGCAAGGGGACGTGACTGGGGCGGGCTATTATCGAACAAGCATGTAACAGTCATGAGGATTTCATTCAGAACCCTGCAGGAAAAGAAAAAAAAAAAAAAAAAAAAAAAAAAAAAAAAAAAAAAAAAAAAAAAAAAAAAGAAACGCAGCAGCAGTCTGGTCAGGCTGTCAGGAAAGCTGCATTCTGTGCAGCAGCGCGCCGTCCGTGCCGTGGCTCCGGTGCCGTGGCATTTGCATGCAGAATGCAGAGCCTTCAGTCACACACCGCTCACTATTTGGGCTCCTCCGTTTCCCCCTATTCCTCCAGAGTAAGCACAAGCAAGGTCACTGTGCATCCCTTCAAGGACAGAGCTCCCGGTGCCTGCATGCTGATTTATTGGAGGCTCTGAGTAGCCTCACAGCCGCAGAGAGGGGAGCCTGCCTCTCAGTGCACGCTCTGAGAACCATTCATTTAAAGAGACAAATATTCTGATTGTTCCTCCACTAGACACAGCTCCCTTTTGAAAGGGCAGAGCAATAACACTTTGTCCACAGCCATCGCAACTCCTCCAAAAATCCCCCCATTGTCAGGAGAGGCTCAATTCAGCTCGCGGGGAGTTCTGTTGCTGGTTTCACTGCTAGCAAAATCTGCCCCTGACCCTAAAACAAGTTCCAATGAAAGCTTTATCCGTGAATGAAACACTCAGACTAGGAGGCTGTTTTGCCCCAACAACAGATGGGCAAACGATTTTGACAAAAAAAAAAAAGAGAGGAAAAAAAAAATCCTTTGTCTAAGAGAATAGGAAGATTTTTGTGTGAATAGATTTTCCAGCAGTTAAACCAGCGTATGCAAAATACTCTAGTGTGCCAGCAGCCCAGCTGTGAGGAGCAGCAATCTGGGAGTATTCATGGACTTTGTTTCAGCTCTAACTGGTGCTTCATGTGAAGAAAGGCCAAAGGTAAATTTGTGCAATCCTTTCAACACAGTCCTTGAAGACGGGGATCAGTTCTCAGCATGACCTGCAACTATTTAGCCTAAAGCCGGCTCTGCCTTACCTAATTTTAAGCAACAAAAGTCACACAAGTGTTTAAATTAGAAAGGTGGTCACCCTGAATTCCTTCAGTCGAGGAGACCACAGCATTAGATATCCCCGAATTTGCAGAGAAGAGGATCCAACCCCTGATATGCCCTGACTCAGCGCCTCTCACAGCTCCCACACCTCTATTTCTGAACCCTGGTAAATGCTTCAATTATCACCTTGCATATAAAAAGAGTGGGGGCCCCAGGTCAGATCAACGATTATCCAGGGAAAAGTAGATGCAGAGAGCAAAGGCATACTGATATTTCCTTGGAGACACTCTCCTACCATTTTGTGGTTCAGGATTTTCCAGAATGAAAGAAAGAAAAGCACCATTTAGGTTGGAAAACTAACTGAGTGAGATGCATTTGTACTGTTCTGGGAATAATACACATACCAGGGGACTGCAAGTTAAACACTAAAATAGTTTGATTCCCTGTTGTCAAAGTCATCAGCTCTAGGGCCAAATATGTTTCTTTTAATGATCAGTTCATGTAAGCTCATATCATAKGAAACGTATGCACATAAGAATTGTACCATTTAGATGGATCTAACCAAAAATCCTCTGAGGAAAAGGAAAAGCTGTATGGCCATCAAAATTCCCAGGCTGAAACCCCACAAGATACTACACAGGCAGATTTGTATGCAGGAGCTGAGTCAAGGCTAATAAGCTCAGCTGTGAATGAAAATTTACTTAATGCTTTGAATTGTTTGATTTCTACTGATAGCTTTGAAAACTCTAAGAAATTTGCCTCAGTTGCTCTGGGAGTTATTTTACAATAACAGCAAAGTATCAGATAGTAGAATTGGCTTCCTATGACTTCCTCTAAGTGTGACACCAATTTTGCAGGATCTTATATCACTAAAATTTTGGTGAAAACACTTTCAGCTTTTCTTGTTCTATTCCCCTCTTTTCAAAGGGATTTTTTTTTCTTGAGATCTGTGCTGTAATGCACCAAATTCCTGAGCCTAGCAGATGCTGTTTCTCCTGGAGTGATGGTCAGCCTGAGCTGCAGCAAACAGCCCGTGCATTTTGTCAGTCTTGGATTTTCTGTGTCCTATCATCACTCTCTGCTGTATCAGGACTGGCCAGAAGATTTAGCACCTGAGAGACCTAAGAGCAGGAGAGCTGCAGACCCAAAAAGCAAAGTACAAAGGTATCTGTAATAAATAGGAAGATCTTGCACAGGCATCATTCCTGACGTCACATGCAAAAGAAATCTGTTTGCTGCCCTCAGCCCAGTACAACACTGCAGAACTGGAAACAGACCAGCTCTGTGCAAGCACAGAGAAATAGGATGTCTATTGACAAATTTTCACAGGATGCTCAAGGTTGCTTGCAATATTTATTGTGAAACAGTCTTAGAGTGCAGCAGAAGGGCTGAATGAGCAGTGTCAGCACTCATTCCTGGCACCCTCTGAGAGTTTGACTTGTCAGCTACAGATCTCCTTGAAAGCAGCAGGTCTCTGCAGAGAAAAAAATATTTATTTTTTAATGATTTTACATTCTGAACTCAAACAAGCAACAGACAACAACAGATCCCCTCCAGGGTCTGAGAGGGATTAGAAAAGCTCTATAAGGACATTGAGCCCAACCATTCCACCAGCATTGACAGGSCCACCACTGACCCGTGTCCCCAAGTGCCACATCCACCTGCTTTTGTAACACTTCCAGATGATGGACACAAGCTCAGAATGGGTATTCCTACACCAGTTCTTGGAGCACAGACTTCAAAGTCTAAACCAAATGTGGCAAAATGGATGTTTAATACGAAGCTGCTAGAAGCAGTCAGTCTTACACGTGTCTGGCCTTTATTTGTTGCATGTGAGCTGCTTGCTAAATATCACCAGAGCTAATCTGTCACAAGAAACTCCTCCAGCCCGAGCAGTGAAACTCTGAGTGCTCTAACACAAACACAAATATGCTCCTTACATTGACACCCTCCARTGGGAGCTCATCATTGGCTCTTAAGGCCCAAAGAAGCAGATTTGTATTTATTTTTTAGAAGAAACTAACATTACATCTCAAATACAAAGAAGCAATGCCACTGAAGCTCTACACAAGAAAAGATGAATTGGCAAGAGGACAAAACCTGGTAGGAGTCAGAGTCTACTCCTCTTGTGGCGGGACTAAGCTCATCTCTCTCTCTGTTGAAAGGACAATATGCAACCCTTAATTCTTAAGCTGCAGTTTGGTTTTTAATGCAAATTAACCAGAAAAATTCATTTTTGATAGGCAAGTCTGACTGGGAATTTTTTTAAGTATCTTTCACTGAACTTGTTGTTTGAATCAGTGTTTGACTGATCATGCATTCTAATTTCAGCTGAAAGCAATGGCATTTATTGCTTGGGATAGCAGGATCTGTCTGTTGGTTGTTTAAATCGTGAAACACATAACTGAACATGTTAAACTCACAGTATCGTACAGGATCAGAGTAAAGTAATACATGCTTCACATTCCCCTTCAGGATTTTTTCTCTTCMTCCCTGCTCAGCCACTCTCCTCTTAATGGCTATTTCTCAGACCAAAACACTTCATACCCAGCATAGCAAAATACTATGGGCTGTAAATGGTTTGAGCAGAGCATTTTTTATACCTCATTTCCCCCCCTAAATTAAAATTAAATCATGTCTATTTACAGTTTCTACAATACTTGTGTAAACTGCTAGATCCCTGATTTTGCAAAGAGCTGGCACATAGGTAYATGGCTGGAAGGTTCTGCTGAATATGAAACTCGTAAACATATGCTTATCAATATTAATCCTTTTGCAGATATAAAACATGCATTTATTAGCATAATCTAGTGCTTAACACAATGTCTAGTCCCCCATCACTGCCACAAATCCATATGTCTTAAACTGAGACAGTGAAGGAAGCTGAAAAGATCCAGCTAAGATGTAAACATTTATTTTCTTCTGAGTTGTCACGTGGAGATGACAGTGGCTAATTTGACACCAGGCTCCTACTTTTGGAGATACCTGAATTAGAGGATGTGTCCTGTACATAACACTTGGTCTGCACACTGGATATACAATTATGGATATACAAATATAAACAAATATGTTTCTTCTAATGATCAGTTCATGTAAGCTCATATCAAGCTCATAATCACATTAGCTATTGAATCATGACCAATTTACTTCCAATTGTGGGTCACATAGGGTTCCATATGGGGAAAAAAYGACCCAGTACATAAAATACCTCCTTTTTACACTGCTGACACCATCTCTGCTGGAAAAGGAATTATGTTTTCCTCAAAGGAATAAGGTCTYCTGGCAGGGAGCTCTGATGCAGAGCTGTAACGTGTGGCTGCAGTGCTGTACATTTACTATCGACATTTCCTTACAGCAGGGCCTGCTAAAATGTGTAGCAAAGTGCAAAACTCACTGGGACATCTCTGCTTTCCCAGTGCCATTTCCATATTCCTAAAAAATACAGGAAGTGAAGTCTGATTGTTATGGTCCCGTTCAGTCTCACAGATTTAACTGAGAATTGTGGAAAGACAGATTCTCTGCATTGAAAAAGAAACAGGACCAAAATTCATTTACAGGAATCATCAGTAAAAAGCATTAGTTTGATTTTGAAGCATTGCAGGAGCCCTGGGTTTCRCACCAGATCAAGGGGACTCAGATATTGGCAGAACCACAGAGGGGCCAAAGGGTTTCCACAGCCAACATTTGCTCTCAAAGGAGAAATATGATCCTCCCTCCATCCCAAGCARGTCATAACTCCCACCTAGATCATCAAAACCACCTTTAAAACCTTCCAGGGAAATTCTGAGAAGTACTGGAATCAATGGCACTCAATTTACAAGTTTAATGGGCGTTGAAAGATKGATGTTTCTTTTTTATGAAAATATTCCAGTATTAACACCACAATGAACCAATTTCCCATAACAAGAAAACCACAATTAATAATTATTTCCTATTTTAACAATMCATTTTTACAGCAAAGGGA